ACAGGTGAGCTAACGGGTGAGATGTGAAGGTAACCTGCAGACAGGTGAACTAATATGTGAAATGGGCAGGTAACCTGTAGACAGGTGAGCTAATATGTGAAATGGGCAGGTAACCTGTAGACAGGTGAGCTAATACATGAAATGGGCAGGTAACCTGTAGACAGGTGAGCTAACGGGTAAGACGGGCAGGTAACCTGCAGACAGGTGAACTAATACGTGAAATGGGCAGGTAACCTGTAGACAGGTGAGCTAATACGTGAAATGGGCAGGTAACCTGTAGACAGGTGAGCTAACGGGTAAGACCGGCAGGTAACCTGTAGACAGGTGAGCTACCATATCAGATCACTGATCTCTATTCATTCACTGGATTCCTGATAGCCGAAAAAAAGTTAAGCCACCGGCCGCTATATTGGTAATCCCCATTCCCACAGAGACACGCCATATAGCTATGTGTGTAGCATTTGGCTGCAAAATCTAGCAGTTTGCCAGCTCTGAAAAGACGTTTCACAGGAAATTTCACAGTCAGTGAATGTACTCAAGTAAATCCATATATACGGTGATGTATCCTATAGTATAGTATAGCATTAGTCTGGCTATCTCAGACCAGCTCCAAGACATTGACTGAGTTCGCCATCGACATTGTCTCTAATGTTAGAAAATAGAAAGTAGAGTAAATAGAAAGTAATTTACTGGTAAATGGAAATATAGTAATTATTAAGTGGATAATGCTGTTGTTTTTATAGTGTTTGTTGTAAATTTCATTTGTAAAAGTAACGTGCTGAAATATAATGCATGTTATATTCTGACGGAAAAAAAAGCAACTCAAACAGGCTAATGTATAGACAGAGCATAAAAATATATGGCATCATGCATGCACAATTTGAAAATAGGAAAATACTGTAGCCTTAACAGACTTGTACTTGTAATTCAGACTTGATGTGAAATATTAAAATTACATGTAATATGGAATTACCACAAAAAATGTCATCAATATATATATATATTACATGTACCTCATCAATTTAGCACTTTTGGTACATCTGTATTATTGTGCTTCATTAGCACATTTATTTTGTTGTGAGGGATTTGTATAATATGTTATATTACATGATTTATAGACTTCATTAACTTCATACTGACTATGCGATGTGATGTTCCTATTTTTCTAAATTAATCTACTTATGCTATGAAACGGAGAGTGTGTCAAGGTGATGAATTTAATTTTATTTTAAAAGTCCTAAGTCCCCCTGAAAATGAGAAAATCATCTATGCTGTCACGTACATATTGTTTACACTGTGACTGGTCTAACTAGGGAGTACCAATATGGTGGCCGGTGGCTTCACTTCAACCCTGAACTACCAATGGGAAATCAGCAATCCAGTGAATAAATAGGGAGCAGTGGGTGTAGATGTACTGCAGTCTTTTCCCGAGGAGGTTGCTCTTATTCCATTTAACGACCCCCTTTCAGAGACACAGACAGGTATTGGGTATTGCAAATTAGCAAAGAAGCCAAACGACCCCATTACAAAGGGGTGGACCCGTTCGTCCATTTTAATTTGCATGTTTTCTAAGCAAAAACAAGGCGTTGTTGGGCTACTGTATAAAGCTTTAAACTCAACGCTATTCCTGACATTTTGAATTGAAAAAGCGAATTGTCTTCAAACTCTTTAACTTCAATCAACTTCAAAGTCCAGTTGATTGTTTTTTTTTTTTACTTTTTTGGAATACATATTATAGATAATTCCTAGATTTCACATCAAGACTGAATTACAAGTACATGTCTGTTAATGCTATAGTATTTTCCTATTTGCAAACTGCATATTGCCATATACTTTTGTTGTGTCTGTGCATTACCTTTTAAAAATATTTACAATATGTTTTGTCACATGGCTTTTTCAAACGAGAAACGATAAAAAATGAGAGCATTACCCACTTAAGAATTACAGCATTGACATTTCACAGTGAATTATTTTCTATTTATTCTACTTTCTATTTTCTAACATAAGACACGTCAATGGTGAACTCAGGCAATGCCTTTAAGTCGGCCTGAGATAGCCAGACCAATGTTACGCTACATAAACAGGATACATTAGTGTACATATGAATTTTCTTGGTTTCTACATCCACTGAATGTAAAAATAACCTGAGAGATGTCTTCCCACACCCGGCAAACTGCTTGTTTTTGCAGCCAAATGCTACACATACAGGCATAATTATTGCACATCTCAGTGGGAGGGGAGAGTATCAAGATGGCAGCCAGTGGCTTCACATTTTTCAGGTTATCAGCAATGAAGTGAATAGAGATCAGTGGGGGTAGCCTGCGGACAGGTGCGCTAACTAGTTCTGTATGGGTGTCTTATCCCAGTGATACCAGGAGGGGGGGCCTTCTCAGAATAACCACCTTAGCAAGTTCCACAGGATGATGGCGCTCCCGTTTCCCTCCAAGGCTGAGACTAAAGTATCAACTCAGAATCTATTCTTTCAGCCGTTCTCAACGACCTTCCAGGCCAGATAGAATCTGAATTTTAGACAGGATGTCCAGCTGCAGCCATAAATCAGAACTTCCATGGATGTTCCGCCTGGGTTCCACTCTCAGGGCTTATCAGGTGTAGAATGGATCATGATTCCGATTGGGTTTAAATGGGGCTGGTCCTGCTGAAACAGGTGTTGGTTCTGAATGGCCTCGGTGAGTCTGACCCATTCATGATGACTTAGCAGAGTCTGTGGATCTTTAACATGGCATGAGTGAAAATTTAAACCTGGGTCATATACTGTCCCACTTTCCGCTGCAGTGGTTAAGGCAACAGAGTTCCCCTTTATCGGAGGAGCGGTTTGACCCCGTCGCCATGGAGACACTCAGTTGTTAGGTATATGAAAAGACCATATACACATTTGTTTTAAGTAAGGGGCATGTTTGATTTTACATTACCCTGCACCATAGAGCTACAGCCATGCACATGGCGAGTCACTGTGTTGCCATAGATACAACAGCTGCCTATTCTCGTTTATAAACCAGCAAAGAGAGGGTCCTGTTGTGGGTTCAATAGAACCAGAACAAATAAGAGTCAGCTCACAGTTTGGGTCAGATTTCATTTATTTACAGAAGCTAGCTGTGACCCTGAAAACATCACGACTCGTTCTGCTCGAACGTTTCGTGCAGTTAAGAGCAGAAGAAACCCGAAGGAGCTGGCATGTAGAAAAAAAAAAAAAAGATCACACCATTGTCTATACACACACACACAGGACTTTTTTTTCTCTCCAAATAAAAAAAATAAAAAAATTAAACTTTACAAAAAACCCAGAGCTGCTGACCAATCAGGAGCCTGGATGCTGACACTCTGAGCTCTGATTGGAAGAGCTTCACAACAGGGTGAGGAAGTCTTTGACCTGCAAGTTAAAACATGTCATTAAAACAGTTGAAGAAGAAGAAATGGTGCAGGAGCCTTAGGGAGAAGCTCACCTTTTCTAGGATGTCCTCCTGCTTGATCGGATCGTTCTGGAAGTCTTTATCCACATCCAGAACCAAGACAGGAAGGTCTTGGAGGTACTCAAAGTCCATCCTGAAGACAGAGACATGAGTGAGTGGCATGCTGAAGGTGGCGCCGTCATCATCACCCAAGCGTCTGTCTCACCTGAGGTTCCTGTGGTAGAGCCACGCCTCGTGTTTGAGGTGAAGCTGCTCCAGGTACTCCAGAGGAACGCCCTGCTCCTCCTCGCGGCCGCGGTGCAGCAGCCGCTGCATGCAGCGCTGCAAAACATCAACACAGAGCTGAGGTCAGAGGTCAGCCAGCTCTGAGAATCAGGGAGACTTTTTGTTGCTGTTCTAACTGCAGGCAGAGGGGAACCTGGGCTCTAAGTGGAACTCATGGTTGGAGAAGGGGGCGTGGCTACCTTTGGGGGGGCTCTGAGGTAGATGATGCCGTCCAGTGCGATGTCGGCCTCGAACTGCTTCAGCAGCCAGCTGTGCCAGTCCTGGTAGACGCTCCACTCCGTCTCCAGCAGGTCGCCACTCTCAAACAGGCTGGATGCAAACACCAACCTGACAGGCAACAGAATCGAACCTCAGACCCAATCCAGGACCTGGCAGAACTACTGCCACACATTCCATGTTCTGATTCCAGCTTACCTGTCTGAGTAAACGGATCGCTCGTAGAACTGAACCGGGTTTTCTGCCTGGAGTAGTTTAGCTGACGGAGACTGAAGCTGAGAACGAACTCTGCTGAGGCAGGCGTAGCTCTGAGAGAGAGAAACAGACAATAGACTCCCTTTGTTGGTCCAATGTTTCATTTATAATAAACACAACCAAATTACTTACATATACTCATATGTAGGTACATCCCAAAAGAAAAAAAAAAAAAGACACAAAGTCCACCCCCTCAAAAACTGACCTAAAACATCTCCACCTCCCCAAATAGAAACAAACCCATTCAAGTTGGACGACATCCTATAATAGGCAGACAGTAAGCCACCAGGCCTCTGAACATCAGTTCAACATTTCCCTTATTTTATTTCTCCTGGTGAGCCAAATTATCATCTTTGCCTGACCAAAAATAAACAGTTAATTATTTAAACTGTGTCCTAAACCAGCCAATCACTGGGTGAGAGAGAGACGGGTCAGGGAAAGGGAGAGAGACAGGCCAGGGAGAGAGAAAATGGCCAGAGGGGGCGGAGTCAGCCATAGATACCTGGAAGGTGTATGCCCAGCGGCTCGGTTTGTCGTACAACATCTGCAGGAGGTTCCCTCCACTCTTCTGCGAGGAACTCAGCTCCTGGAGACAGAGAGACAGTCAATCAGCCGTGGTGCATTCACTGACCAAAGAAACAGGTGGAACATAATCATCACAGACATTGATAGACCGTGTTGGTACAGACCAGGGAGAACACACATCCTCCGCTCCCCTGGCCAAGTGGAGTCCTCCTTGCTTTCTGACTCTTCAGACCCATCCGTTTAAAAAAAAATATTTCAATCCATTCTACAGCGTGTTGAACAGCAGTGCTGCTGCTGGTTTTCACGTTTATATGTGCACTATTGCACTACCTGACATCCATCAACATGATTGATATCTGTTCTCATTTATTCTATTTACTTTATTTCTAGAGTTCAGTTTAATTAAACTTAAAGACTAGTAAAAAGCAGAGCTGGTCCAGAGGGCAGGTAGGTTTCACACCTTTCAAACGATCCTATTGGTCAGAGCAGCACGCCGTGACACATGGAAAACATGGAGGACCTGGAATGGCTCCTCCTTCTCTTCTCTTCTATTCAGTCTTCTGTTCTCCAGCAGGCAGTCTGTTACCACACGGTTTTGAGAAAACAATCCAAACTATTCCTGTTCTATTTTTCCTTCCTTCCTATTCCTTCATCTCCGCACCTTGTCGCTCTCAGGAGGCGTGGTTTAACTTCTGGATGTAAAGAAGGCCCAGCTGCCATCCTCTTCCTCCTGGTCAGATTAATTTCCCTCCGTCATCTGACAATCATTCTAGATTATTGACTCTAGATATATTTAATGTTGCCTTTAGCCTCCATGTCCCAAGATCCATTGTGCTGCCGACGTCACATTCACAAAAAAATGGTCCAAATGATTGAGTCTAAAACTATTCATATATCAGGATGTAGGTGAAAGTTTGAGTTAAGCAAATTATTTTGTCTTTTAATGCAAGTTAAAATTAGGAAACAAACAAATAAAATGATTTAATCTTTAAATATTTCATTTATTTTTCCTGATTCAAAGGGTTGATGGAAAAAAAAAACCCATCAATTCAGCAGCTTTAAATGGTAACAAAGCTAGAGCAGAACAGAACCTCCATGCAGGCCTAAGCGGGTCTGGACCCTCCTCATTCTCACCTGGTAGATGTCCTCACTGTTCTGGACGTTGCACCATTTCCCGATCGGTTCTGGGATCACCTCCCAGTCCGAGGAGCAGGAGGAGGCCTGCAGCAGGCGGACGAAGGTAGATTTCCCTGCAGCTGAACAGAACAGTAACAGGTTAGCCCCCCGAACCGGTACCGGACCGTCAGCCCGCCCTCTGCAAGCTCCCCGAGTTCTGGTTCCTCCTGGACTCCATGGTTCTAATTTTCTTACCGATGTTCCCCTCGATGGAGACCTTCCGGTGTCTGCGTGAAGAACCACGGAGCCGCTTAGGAGGGGTGGCCATGTTGGGTCGGAACCAGCAGGACAAAGGTTCGGCTGCTTCTCTGCGCGCGCTGGGATAGTAAAAACCCGCGAGCCGCTTCTCAGCTTAAATGCCGCGCTCAACAAGCTCTACTTCCGGGGCCGGGCTTCTAGAGTCTACAGCTGCGTCTCAATTCGCAGGCTGCAGCTTACGTGTGCCCCGGTAACCATAGAAACGTCGCACTACCGCCTCCCGGAACTATGGAGATTTTTGAGTTGTTCATCTGATCCAATAAAGTTTTCATTTTCACTCAGAGGAAAACATTCTTATAAAGAATTTAATTAATAAAACCTATTGGAACCTTTCAGTTCTGACTGTGGAGCCTCTCTTTATGTAGAAAGAAAATAATTAGCATTAAAATGTTGAAATATATGCAATATCGTTAGATTCAATAATATTCATACATCCTGTTCACTCAAACAACCAGCTGTTAGTGTTGCACTTAAATAACAAACAAACAAAAAACAGAAAAAATACTGAAAACCAGAAGACGCGATAAAATATACCTTTATTTTGAAGTTTCTAAACTCACTTCCTCCTCCGGCCTGCCTGCTGTCACATTCAGAAATAAGCAACAAAACATGTAAACAGGAATTTTCAAAAACCAAATGTGTGTGTTTTACTTTACTCTGGTACCAACAACAAAAGATGTCTTTCTCATTTTGTTTTAATTGAAAAAATAAAAAATGGGAGCTGTAATAAACTTGTTCGTTTATTCTAAAATAATGAGTTCCTTGTTGTTGTTTCAGCATGTTTTATTTAACATGTGCTCTCTTAACACAGGTCCGAACAAAACCATCCCCTGCCATAAAACACTTCACTGTCGTAACATCTCCCATAAAGTGTATGTTGTAAAACACATTCTCTGACATCTCCCTCTTTTTTGAAAAAACAATAACACTGGCGAACAGTATCATCACTAATGCATACAGTATTGATTCTGCATGGCAACAGTAACGTCTTCATTTATTTTCAGTAGCCAGCCATTTAGGGCTTCGTCAACAAACAGCTTTGTATTATATCTACACAATATCAGATTTCCTCTAGAACAACTTGACCATAACATCCCTTACAGATCTAATCTCTGAACAGGTTTAACAACTCTACCTGATCTGGTTTGAGATAGCCCACTAGGGGTCTCCTTAGGGCCAGGAGAGCTACCTCCAGAGCTCGCCTGAACATCAGGTGTGTTAGGTTCCACAGATTGTTCAACTGAGGACCCCACCTCAGACAGTGCTTGGAGATGACGACGATTTCACCTGTACAGGGCTCCTTTCTCTGTAGCGATGACATATGACCTCTCTGTTGTACTCTCCCTAACCACTTCTGCAGGTGTGGACCAGGTCTTCTGATTGTCCAGCCTAGCGAGAACAGGTTTTCCTGGCTGCAGTGGTGTGAGCGGTCTCACACCATGTCGCTTATTGTAGTGGAAAGCTTGCTTCCTCTTCTCCACAGCGTCCTTAGCTCTGATGTGCTGTCGGTTTGGCCATTTTGGTTGCAGGACTTTATCCAGAGTAGGTAAAGTTGTTCGGATTTTCCTTTCTATTAATAGTTCCCCCGAGCTGACACCAGTGCTGCTGTGCGGTGAGGATCTATAGATCATAAGAGCCAGTAGTGGATCTTTTTGTTGAAGTATTCTTTTGGCTGTCTGCACTGCACGTTCACCATGTCCGTTGCCCTGTGGATTGTGGGGGCTGGAGGTCACATGCTTAAAGTCCATCTCATGGGCAAAGTCTTTGAAGACTTCACTGCTGAACTGTGGCCCATTGTCACTGACAACCTCTTCTGGTATTCCATACCGGGCAAAAGTAGCTTTCAGCTTTAGAGACACCTGAGCGCTTGTGGTGGCTGGCATGTGGAGAATCTCCAGGTATCTGGAATAATAGTCTGATATGACAAGAAAGTTCTCTTTTCCATGCTCACAAAGATCTATGCCGATTTTTCTCCATGGCCTGTCTGGGAGGGGTGTTGACAGGAGAGGTTCTTTGTTTTGTGCCCTCCTGTGCTCCCGACAGTACATGCAGTTCTCCACTTTGTGTGTGATTCGTGAAGTTAAGCCAGGCCACCACACCGAAGTGTTTACTCTCATTCTGCATTTGTTAAGTCCTTGATGACCATCATGTATGCGTTCTAACATTTCTGTTCTCATTGACCCAGGTATCACTATCCTACTCCCTCTGAGTACCAACTCATTATGCACAGACAGTGCATTTCTCACAGGAAAGTATTCTCTTGTACAGCTCTGTGTGTGTTGTATGTGTTCAGGCCATCCATTTTTAATGTACCCAATTACAACTTGGAGCTGCTCATCAGCGGCTGTCTCTGCTCTGATGCCATCCATCTTTGTCTGTGACTCAACATCTGTATGGCAGTCTCTGCTGTGCACCGTTCCCTACTGAGGGCTCCCGGACAGCATGTCCGCCACAACCAGTGTTTTCCCAGGTGCATATTCAGCCTCCAAGTTGAATCTCATCAATCGCATGAGGAGTGTTTGACAGCATACTCGAGTGTTATCAAGGTCTCTGGAGTTCATCAGTGGAATGAGGTTTATGATCTGTAATCAGTTTGAATGCAGGCAGGCCATAGAGATATTTCTCAAATCTTTCACACGCCCACACAGATGCAAGGCATTTCTTTTCAATTTGAGCATACCCCTTTTCAGCATCGCTTAATCTTCTTGAACCGAATGCCGCTGGTCTCCAGTCTTCACCATGGAGTTGTAACAGGACACCGCCCACTCCATAGCTGCTAGCATCAGCTGAGACTACAGTGCTCCTGTTAGCATCATAGTACATGAAGGTAGGGGATGTTGTGAGAAGCTCTTTGATTCTGTCGAAGGCTGCCTGCTGTGCAGGACCCCAAACCCAGACTGATGTTGACTTTAGCAGTTCATACAGTGGTTGGCCCACTGTGGCGAGGTCAGGAATATATTTCCCTAAATCATTTATCATACCAAGGGCTCTCCTTAGCTCTTGGACGCTCTCAGGTGGGGTGAGCTTATTGATACATGACACTTTTTCTGGGTCAGGTCGCACACCATCTTTGTTGATCACCTGGCCCAAGAAATGTAACTCAGTCTTTCTCAGTGTGCATTTCTCTGTGTTTAACTTCAGGCCTGCTGACCCCAGACGTGCCATTACTTTCTGCAGGCGCTCATTGTGCTCACTCATGTCCCTCCCGAAGACGATGATGTCATCCATATAGACTGCAACTCCCTGCAGCCATTCGAGAGTCTCTCCCATTTTCCCTTGTAATATTTCCGGGGCGCTTGTGATCCCAAAAGGGAGACGCTTGAAGCAATACCTTCCATAAGGTATTATGAAAGTAGTTAGTCTCTGGCTGTCCTTGTCCAGAGGGATCTGCCAAAATCCAGAAGCTGCGTCCACAGAAGAGAAAACTGTGGACCCACCCAACTGGGTTATCATCTCTTCCGCTGTGGGCAGAATGAACCTCTCTCTTTTGACAGCTTTATTTAGTCTCTTGAGGTCGACACAGATGCGTGCTTTTCCATTCTTTTTTCGGAACCGGCACCATCGGTGCACACCACTCCGTTGGTTCTGTTACAGCCTCGATGATTTAATTTGTCTCCATTCGGTCCAGCTCCTCCTTCACTGCTTTTAATAGGGGTGCTGTGGCTACTGCATAGGGCTGAGCATTATCTTGCAGTGCAAGTTTTGTTCATCATCCTCTGTAACTTCACTCACCAGCCTGCTTCTGCATGCTCTTTCCCAGTGACCCTTTTTCCCACATCTGTTGCACGTGGACTGTCTTGCTGGACACTCATCATATTGGCTATGTGGTGTTTTGCCGCATTGTCCACATCGTCTGCGGTCACTGTCTTTGTATTTCTGCTTGTCCTGGCGCTGTCTCCAGTCTTTAACCCGCGCACCGCCATGTTTCTGTGCAACTTCTTGGACAGCACAGACTCACTCTCCCTGCTTGTTAACCTGTGTTTTCACCTCCTCGGACTTCCGTACCTCCTGTGCCGTCACATCCAGAGTGAGTTTCGGGATGAGCTGCAGCTTCTGTTATACAACTCTTTGTCCGAGATGCCGACCACGATCCGGTCTCTAATGTGTTCATCTCGGTTTGCCCCAAATTCACAGTGCTCTGACTGTTCGTACAGTGCTCGGATAAATGTCTCTGCGCGTTCACCAACATGCTGCACTCTCTGGTTGAAACAAGCCCGTTCGTGGATAACGTTGCGTCTCGGAATAAAGTAGGCATCAAACTTTGCCATAACCACGTCAAACTGATCTTCATTTTCACCCTCTCCGTAGGTGAAAGAGCTCAGTATGTTCTCCGCTTCCTTACCGAGTGCATAAACCAGCGTGCTCACTTGCACCGGACCATCCTCCTTATCATGTTTAGTTGCCATCCTGTAACGGAAAAGGCGTTTTTTCCAATCAGACCACTCCGCCGGGTTCTCCAAACAAAAACACTTCTGCCACTTCTGACACCTTGTAATAAACTTTGTTTGTTCGAACAAAACCATCCCCTGCCATAAAACACTTCACTGTCGTAACATCTCCCATAAAGTGTCTGTCGTAAAACACATTCTCTGACAGGAGCCTTTTCTGTTGTTCGGTTTTGTTAAAAAAACAAACACTTTGCTACCTGAACCTGGAGCGGAGGGAGAGATTTCAGAAAATCAAACCCAAAGTTCTGCCTTTATTTTTCTACTGATGTGGCCTCAAAGTTTTACAGACTGCTGTTTTCTCGATATTGATCAGAGGCCAGATAGCTGTTAAAGATCAGTTCTCTGTGTGTCTACAACTGGAAGCTTTCTCTCTCCGGTTCTTTTCCCTGAAAAGAGATCACTAAGGACATACTCTTTAAACAACACCCCATAATATATATGTAATAGATAACCAGGAGACTTGACAGCAGACTTTGATAGAAATTGTAATCTTACTCAGATCAGAGAAAATGCTTAGAATTACAGAATGGCAGCTGCTTACCTCTCAGGAAGTGGCCCCGATTAACAGTCAAAAAGGCATTTTATACATCTCCAGGCTGCCACATCATTACATCATACACTTTAGCAGATGAGGAGAAATTCATGGCTCCAGCCTTATCAAAATATTACACTTCGTTCTTGGCTCCCAAATCTTTGCCACGTACAGAATGAAGATTATAACTGTATATCCGGACAGAGGAACCGTCTTAACCAGATAAACTATTGTGGAAAACATCAGTTCTGACACGCAACAGGCAGCCAATACCAAGGTGTAATAAACTTACAAATCATCAATGATATTTATCCTAACACAACTTTTTACAAACTGTTCATGTTTGATCCAATAAAATCTTCCCAAACAGCTTCTATATTTCAGAAGAATCACATGGAATGTTCTGATGATATTGATGATCAGTTATCATCTCTCTGACTGTTCTATGGTGGAGCTGGATGTGTTTTATCTCATGTTTGGTTCTGGTGATGTTCTCCTTGGGTTCCTGTTCTCATTCGAGTCTGTGGATGTTCTAATGCCAGCTAGAGTTCAGCTCCAGAGTAAAAGATGAATCAGAGGAAAGCAAATCCTTGTTCCACATCCAGAAGCTTCAGGCTGAGTTTTCTGTAACTGAGAGCCCACTGGGGTCCAAAACATGACTTCAGGTCCTCAGGAGAACCATGTGAAGGTGTCTGTCCTCTGAAGGTCTTCAGCACGGTCTGAGGCTGGCACATATGATCTGCAGGATCCTTTGAGGTTTTCAAATACTCACTAAAAATACACTTCTTCTCCCTGGCTCTTAATCGAGTCTAAGTGGACACCTCGTAAACATTTTTATTTACATTTTTACTTATTTTATTATATTCTATTTTCATTCTATTTTATTGCATTGTGTTTATGTATTTTAGCTTTTAAGTTTCTTACCTTATTTCCTGCAACTGTGTTATCTGTAAATCCGTAAAAGTTGGACTTGATTTCCAAGATTTGAAGACGTTTCGCCACCTCTCCAGGAAGCTTTCTCAATTCAAATGTCTAGATCTGCAGTGAGTTTGAGTCTTTATATAGACAAAGCCTTGCATTGCTTGGAAACATGCAAATGGAAACTGATGAGTGGGTAGTTTGGTTCATCGGTTCCCATTTGCATGTTTCCAAGCAATACGAGGCCTTGTCTATATAAAGACTCAAACTCACTGCTTCTAACAGTTTCCCAGCAGATCTCTGTTTGAATGACAACATTCAGCAGCAGATTGTATTCAGTAGCTCTGATCAGGGGCGGAGCTAGATGGAGGGCCAGGGGTGGCCATGGCCACCCGTGTGGCCACCCCTACCATCTTTTTCTCTCTAATACAGAGGGTGGCAGCAGTAATACTCTCAAGTGGAATATTCAAAACATTTAAATTTTTCATATATTAACATTTACTTGACAACAAAAACACTGTGGTTAATTATGCACATCATTATACTGACATTAAAGACGATAAATACAGAATTAATGCTTTTTCAGATCTACATTTTGTGTTATATGGGGTAGTAAAGAGAAAATAATTTCTCTCTGCAAGTCATATAGGAGTATTCAGTGAAATCATTGATAACTATTTTAATAAAAAAGTATTAAATAATCAATTTATGTAGATATTAGTACTTATATTAGTACTTATAAATATATAATTTTCTTGCAGAATGATTATTGATAAAAGTAACTAATGACAATGGAAAAGATGTTCGGCCCAGAACTCAAACCTGAGAGAATTGTATCCAGTATACATTTTATCTTGGAAGATGTTTAAATATATGCGCCTATTTTTTTTTTAGCAAAGGCTGCAGGGAAGGATATTTTGTTTTTATTTAGAAAATATGGACATTGTGCTCATTAATTTTCCTGTTGGAACAATGTAGATCGACCCAGAGGTTCTGGCGCCTATCCACTTTCAGCCACCCCTCAACAATGTACATTGGTTATTGCCTGGCCGCCCTTATAAACATGTTCTGGCTACGCCTCTGGCTCCGATCCAGTGGCAGGAAGCAGTCATAGCAGTGGTTTCAATCAAATCATATATTTAATCAGCAAACATTAAGGTTGATGATGAAATACGTCTTTTAAACATAATGAAGAAATGTACATTCTGAAGAAGGAAATGAAGGAATTCATCAATTAATAGTTAAAGATGTTTTTATTACCAGAAACACCTATTAACCCCCCTTCCCATCAACAGCCATCATGGCACATCAATAAGTTGGTTGCCAACTTCCATAAAAAAAGGAGAAGATGATGAAGAAGAAGAACGGCCAAATCCATGTTGGGAAAAAGAAAAGAAAAGAAAAGAAAGGAGGAGTTTTGGATGGAGAATTGAAAGCAAAATAAAAGAATTTAAAATCACCAATTTAGAAATCACTCAGACACCAATATCAGTTATACCACCATGGATTCTAACAGAAGCAATAGTAGAAATGTCACTAATGGAAAAGAAACAAGATAAATCTATACGGTAGATATTAATTTACTACAGTTACATTTAGACAATTATTATCAATATATTCAGATTTATACAGATGCATGAAAAATAACAAGGAAAATAGGAATAGCTTTTTTAATACCAGAATTCAATATAAAAATAGGAAAACGAATTTCAGATGGATTATGAGTGTACACAGGGGAAATATTGGCAATATTATTAGCTTTACAATGGTAAGAAGACATAAAACCATTAAAAACAGGAATTTGTTCAGATTTAAGCTCTGCACTATTAAGTTTAAAATATAACCAGACAGATAGTAGGATGGACATTTTATTAGAAATATTTCATACACTATTCAGAATAAAAAAATGGGTTTGATAGTTTGATATTTGTGTGGCTTCCACAACATATTGGCGTTGAAGGAAACCAGAGGGCAGATAAAATGGCAAAGAGGGCGATTCAAAATCATATTAGTTTTACAGTTAAACAAGTAAATCGCAGGGAAAGAGTATTATTAAAGAAAAACTGATGAAAAATTGCAAAAAAGGTGGGATGAAGGAAAAACAGGAAGGTGTTTCTTTAAATAAAATTCAGGAGATAGTAGGAAAAGGAAGAAATGGAAGATGAAATAGAAAGGAGGAGAGAGTGATAACAAGGTTAAGATTTGGGCATACAGGACTTAATTAAACACTTCAAAATTCAAAAGCAAACTACTGGCAAATGTGATTACTGTGGAAAATATGAAACAATAGAACATGTTAGACTGGAATGTCATAAATATGAAAGCCAGAGAAGATATATGAGGAGATAATTTGAATGTATTAAGGAAAAGATTCATTTATTAGATATTTTGAGGAAGAATTTGCAGAGTAAATATACATAAATAATTATTTGATTTTTAAAGAAAACTAAATTGTTTCATAGAATTTGATTATAGAGAGGCAACAAGCTCTTCTCAGCTTGTTAAGAAGAGCTTTTCAGAGTTGAGTGCGCGCCAGAGCGGTTTTGAGCGAGCGCGTGTTGTCTCACTGCCCGCTCGGATTGGTTTCTGGGCGCTCAAACCGAAGGCACAAATATCTCTCCATACTGGTTTTAATGTGATCTGCCAGAAGCTGAGCTACCAAAAGAAACAGGTAGGGGGAGACAGAACACCCTTGTCCGATTCCTCTGGCAATCTAGGAGATGAGCCATTCCTTAATTTGATACAGAGTTTTTATAATTGTTATAAAATGCTGTCCAAATCCAAACTTTTCTAAACGTTGAAATATAAAACCATGTTCTACAGTGTCAAAAGCCTAATAGAAGTCTAAAAATAAAATAAATCCATTATCAGAAACGCCATTATTAATTTCTATCGGCTCTGATCAGGAACCTGAAACGTCATCGTCAGCAGCTGGCCTCTAGGGGGCTCTGAGGCGCCGAGAAACGCCCACAGGAGAAGGAGAAGAAGAGCATTCCGGTAACAATGGCGGCCCCCGTGGATCTGGAGCTGAAAAAGGTACCGAAGTTCTGTTCGAGGTTCGACCTCAGCCCGTTGGCCTTTCTTTGATACCTGCCAGCGCGCTCACTCATGGGCCAGGAACTCGCACCCTGTCCGCGCAGTTAGCTTTTATCCGCTGCTAGCTGTTAGCATGCGGAGGCTGGAGGTGTGACTGCATCTCATCAGACCCGGTTAAACCAACCAACGAGGAGGGTTTATATGAAAGAACCAGGTTCTGATAGAGTGGGTCCAACATTATTTCATCATAGCTGACCCTGTTCTGGAGAAAGAACCCCGGTTTTGTAGCCAGATTATCCGTTCGCTAACGTGACCTGCAGGGTTCTTCAGGAGAACCACTGGTGATCCGTCACCTGCTGCGGTCCAGAACCGAGTCAGTGCAGCTTGATGCTGCAGAGGGCTGATCCTCTGGAGGATTCGGGTCACCATCATGGTCCAGACTGACCCAGTGGGCCGGGTTAGCCCTGATTCCAGGGTCAGACTCAGCATCAGTCAGGCAGCTAATCAGGAAACTGCTGCATTTAAAAACAGGGATCATGTCAAACATCCTTTCCAGTAGAATATTTTTTTCACTGCACTGCTTTGTGTCGATGGTGAAAATGATTCTGTCTGTAGCAGAATCATTTCCAGCCTATAAATAATATATTTTGGTCATTGTGTTTTAATAGAAGTGAAGTAGTTTACCTGCACAGTAGGTTGTATTACTGAAACAGTAAGTATAAATTAATAATAATGGTCAGTTATATTAAATAAACTAGAACATGTGCTCCAATTAAACAGCAACCCTTTTCAACAGCATTAGATATACTTTTCATTAAGGCCACATCTCTTAACGTGTTTTTTGGGGGAGCTGAATATAATATTTTAACCTTCAATATATAATTATTTATTTACTGTTAACCAGAAAAAGGCTTAAAATCATTTGTCTGAATAATAATCTATTTAATGTTTCACAAAGTGAAATAAGTTTTCCGTGTCTTCAATATTTCTTTTCAATGGCATTACAATTTAATCTGACTCACTAGTTTTAGTATAATACAGAGTAAAGATTATTAATCTAACTGTAGCTTTTGTTCTTGGAAATGTTTTCAGGCATTTCCTCCAATCAGAATCTCTGTTTTGGTCCCTCTGGCTTCCTATTGGCTCAGCTTCAGTCTATGAAAGGAATAAGGATTAATATGAAAAACAAAGCCATATAAATAAAAATGTAGGAACATACTAGCTGCTAACCAGTGTCAAGTCTGTGGAGATAACAGAACTGTGGGAGGCCACCAAACAGGTCAGATCTGCTGATAGTAGTGGATTAGCTATCATCTTTTCAGCCCAATTTACTACAAATACTTTATATTTATTCCGTCTTCATGGCTAATGCAGAGTTACTTGATGCTGCTTGTAGTGGCAGTGACAAACGCTAACAGAGACCAGGCATTTATCCTGTGGAGGTGAAGTTTTCAATAAATGCCACTATTGTTTTTTTTTTTTCTGATCTCCGCTCTTCTTTTTTAACTTAGCCAGCCGCCCTACAGATCATGTTCATGAACAGATCAGCTGTGTGACAACACTGATGTGGAACAGGTCAGGGCATGTCAGTCCAGCAAAACTCAGCACCTGCAAACTTGCATGTGTGATGTTGTCACTCCCTGCATGTGTGTGGGGCAGTGAGCCGCTAGTTCCCAGCGGTTCCTCCTAGTCCAGTTCTTAGAACTGTAGCGTTTGATTTCAAGTGGATCTGTGCTGCTGACCCTGAATGTTGATGCCTCCAGGTCGGGTCGGCCCACACCAGAGAAAACCTGGGCACGTTGAAGCACTCCTAGCTTCAATAGCTAACATATTGGTCAGTGAACCATCCAGTGGCCTCTTCCCACTGGCTGTACTTTATCAGAACCAGCAGAACTCCTGTCTGTGGATCAGCTGCTCTCATCCAGCTTTTCATTGCTGCTGATGTCTTCAGACCAGCCTCATAGAATCAACACTTTTTATTCTAGTTTTTGTCATTTTCTAAGCAGATTTAAAATCAGATTTTCAAGATGTCCACTGGTGGACAGCGCCATCTTGTAGAGCCTGGCTGGGCCCCTCATGTGGTCCCTGGCGGTGACCAAGGGCCAAAGTGCTGATGGCTCCTAAGTTAGAAGAAAACATCTCCTTTCTGATCAGAGTGATGTCTTCTGTCTCCGTAGGCCTTCTCAGAGCTGCAGGTGAAGATGATGGACACGCAGCAGAAGGTGAAGGTGGCCGACCTGCAGATCGATCAGCTGGGCAGAGTCCAGAAACACACCAAGCTTACGCAGGCAGAGATCTCCTCCTTGCCCAGTAACACGAGACTCTACGAGGGCGTCGGCCGAATGTGAGTCCCCCCACCAGAGGGGTGAGGTCAGGTCGCTAAGGGGTTGTCAGGGCAGGTCGGATCGCTAAGGTGTGTTCTGTTTCAGGTTCATCCTGCAGTCGAAGGAGGAGATCAATGACCTGCTGACGGACAAACAGAAGACGGTTGACGATAAGATCAAAGAGCTGGAGGTAAAGAGCTGAGATTTCCTGCAGACCCTGAACCTGCTTCACATCTCATCCTGTTAGAACCCTGAATGCCTCTGTTCCCCTCTCTGGAGTGAGAGGGTTCTGACCCGTCTGCTGGATCTGGGTTCCAGGACCAGATGTTAAGTCGACCGGTCCAGAGTTCTGGTGCTGATCAGTAAACATACATTTTTCTGACATCACGATAAAATCCAGAACCAGTCTTTATTCTACAGCTGAGGCTCCAGGTAGCCAATCAAAGCCATTCAAGGCTGTGACATCATCACTTGTAGCTTAACCAACAGTACAAAAACAACAACTTTGTTCTCAGTGGGCTAAAAGCTGAAATGTTCTTATTGTTTTGGACGGGTCAGGGGTTCTGGAAGCCTTCATCCGTCCAGCCTGTGGTTGACCTTTGACCCTGCATGTGTTACAGCAGAAGAAGGTGTACCTGGAACGCAGCGTGAAGGAGGCTGAGGACAACATCAGAGAGATGCTGCTGTCCAGGAGGGCACACTGACCAATCACCTTCACTTCCTGCTCACAATAAACACATTAAACCCCACCCCGTTTCCTGTCTGATGTCACACAAACATGATTAGGTCATTTCCTGTCTCTTTATTCTCGGCTCATACAGCAGATGATGTCATCAGTAAGCAGGCTCCTGATTGGTCTGAAGTCCAGTGGGTCACTCATCCTCAGTCTGGGGTATTGACTTCATATCATCCAGTGTGGTTGTTGTTGTTGGGGTTCTGAACAAAGTTGATAGAGTAGGATCCGCTGGTCGGGTCCTGGTTGACCTGGAAGTTGTTGGTGGAGAGTCCGAACGGCCTCAGAACCAGGTTCCCCAGGTCCTTCAGTTTATCTGCTCAGAAGACAGGTGAGATGTTCAGGGACCAAAAACAGGGAGACACGATGCGTTCAGGGGAATTACGTACCTATCATCTCCTCCTTTAGCTTCTCATTTCGCTCCTGAATCTGCGGAGGCAGCCTCTGAGGGAGAGACAGACAAAAAAGGTCAGAGACAACATTAAAGCAGAACCAGTGCTTTGGATCATAAAAGCAGTTCTAATGGTGCGATCACACAACATGTAGTGAAAGCAGTGATTTCCCTGAGCCCTGCAGGTCGTTCATTACTCTGCATTTCAGATGCGCATTGTTTACACTAGTGATAGTGAGATGAAGCCTCATGAGGCATTGAACCATTTGGCCAAATTGCTTCAACGATCCCCACAGTTTATGAGGCTTCATGTGAACATGTCACCACCTACTGGTGGACAGCAGAACTACAGTTTGTAATAAAATCTGTTTTTTGCAACTCTTTTTTTTCCCCCTTTCAAGTTCTCTTGAAATTATTAAAGGTTGGTGTGTATAAAATCTTTGTAATTTTTTTTAAGTGTAAAATTTCTTAGAACAATAATTTAAGGTTCACAGTTTTTCTGCCATTTTAGTGAAAAACTCAAGCAGACAGTGAAAGTGTTTGTGCAAATTGGGCAAACTGGGCAATCAGAATCAGAAATATTTTAATAATCCCAGAGGGAAATTACTTTGAGCAAAATGAAAGGTGTTAGTCATTTTTATTCAAACATGATAGTTTTTCCACGTTTTTTTGGTTTTAATCAGGTTGGAAGTTGTGTTAAGCCGACCTAATTTACCCAATCTATATTTTTGCTCGAGCAAAACAATGCAAATTAGTCTCATCAGCCAAAATAATTAACTTTAATCGCAACTTTCAAAAGTCAAAGACAGATCTTGAACCATCAACTTCTAGAGTTAGAGCCTGTCTCTTGCAGATGACACCACCTATGTAGATAACCATAGCTGGGAGGAAAATACTAGTCAAGAGTAACGTGTTAACACTGACTGTGTCTGGTGGTTTGCTCAAATTTTAATCATTACATTGTTTATTCTAACCAAATTAGTTTTAAGCAACTAGATTGGTTGTTTTTCCAACCAATCTATTCTTAGAATCTATCCAAACTTTATTCAGCTGACAGCAACTCTCTTCAAAACTCCCACATCTTGACTGAACACTGAGGCTGTTTAGATGCCTATCAAAATTCTTGCGCTTCCTGAACCACTTCCCGAAGCGGTCACGTGGTATCACGGTAGCGAGGCCTACGACGTCATCCATTTTGGCCCCGCCTCTAAATGAATCACGCCTCGACACGCGCTTCGGGAAACGCCCCCTCCATTACTCGACACGCCTCGAAGCCTCAGCTCATCTCATAACATCACTAGTTTACACCCTACGCTGCATCATCAAATAGGAGAAGCGTCAGCTGCATGAAGCTGACACCCCACTGACGTGAAAAAAAAGTTAGCAAATAGACTGAAACTTGCTCTTTTAGTGCAGGTTTGTGCACTTAAAGGTTGTCTAGGAGATCTTGGGGAACGGTTCCAGCAAGCTATTCTTTGAACATACACCACCATGCCTCTGTCTTCAGACCACCCCTCGAAACCATGCCTTCAAAATCGCATGAACGCACATGCTGCATACAGCGCGTCTAGAGCAGCAGGAGCAGCGTGACGCTGATCTGGGAGCTGGCAGGGAGACGCTGATGATGCAGAGCGATATAATCCTCTGAAACAGTTCATTAACACCTAAATTAACTTAAAATGACGGAATCTGTAGGCAAAACATGTTGCTTTTACTATCCTGGTGCCTGCAGTTTGGATTATGTACATGAAAAATGGCTTCCAGCCGCCGAGGCGACTAGGCCATAGGCTGCTGTTGAACTGGATTTCTAGTGACAGCGCACCGCCAGTGTACAGGGATCTGAGCGGCTCAAACAGAAATAATAATTGAAGGTTGGATGGTAATCTGGATGAACTGACTACACTGACGTGGAACATTCCAGTTTAAATTTAGTTGCATGATCATTCTGCACACCAATAAGCCCAGTAAAGGCTGATTTATACTCAGGTCATCTTAGTGTGTGTCGCAGTGCAAATATGTCTCCGCCCCTTCCGCAGACACTGCTGCACCTCTCCAAAATTGTAGGTGACCGCAGACAGGACGCCTCTAATTGGTCAAATCTACATCCGCTCTACTCTATGCATATTTCCTGTTTGGTACCTTACCGGCTTGTTTCGTTTGTATGACCGCCATTGTGGAAAACGACTAACGAAGATGGACCAACTAGAAGAGCGAGGTGCGTGAAACGCTGGGACCCTTTTTCCACCTGGATCCTCTGTTGTCACACAAACTTGCCCCACTTCCTCACTGCCTCGGCCGTATCTAGACCCATAGCTAATTCCTGATTGTCCCTCTTGCGTTGTGGCGTGGAATAACAGCGCAGACCACGCTTCAATATTGGGCATAAATCAAAAATATCTGCAACAAGCTCACTGCGACACACTGCTGCGGGAAGATAACCAGCACTTAATTGTTCAAACAACGGTATGAAGAGTAAGATTCAGGCCAGAAAGCCTGAATCTAACTTTTAAATATTCAGGTTTCTTAATATTTTTGGCCCTCACAGGATGCAGCGTCAAAATCGGGGCGCAGACATCAATTTTGCCACTGCTGAGCCAATCAGTGACCAGCAGTCCCCTAATGTCCTTTTAAGCACAGCTCAGTTTGGAACAAGCCAAGTAGGTTCTGATGGAAACAGACCGGTAGTGGGACAGAGCTGGTCAAGAGAAATTTAGTCTTAACAGTGTGTGGGGATGACCTGAAGACCAGCGGACATCTTGGGAGTCACTTTGATCAACACACACCCAGTGAGAACCTCGGTGTTTGGTGGTCCCAGCAGTCAGTGAACTCACCATGCAGGCCTGTCTGGCGACGCTGTTGCTTGGATCTCGCTCCAGAACTTGCTTGTAGTCCTCCAGAGCTTCATCCAGCTTCTCGGTTTTCTCATAGAGCTCTGCCCTCCTTAGCAGCGCCCGCAGGTATTCTGGATCCAGCTCTATCGCTATGGAAACGATAGAAGAACATATCAAGTGAGCAGTTCTTGTGGTTCAACACATTTCGGCCTCCCTCAAAAGTTCTTCCTCAAAGTCAGACTTAAAAAATACAGAGGAGACCCTCTCTGGTGGCCCTAAATATCCATATTATGGACCGAGAACAGAGGTTTGACCATTTAGGTCAAACCAGAGAATCCAGATGGCAACAGAGGGTTCCTCAGACTTCAGCTTCTAGAAAAACAAGGTTCAGAACTGAGGCTGAAGGCCAGTCTGTTCTACAACAGATTCTCCTTCCTATCCAGTGGTCCACGATACCAGGAAGAGTCTGGTCTGCCGGGTGGCTCTTCCCAAACAGATTTACTGTCCAGATTATCTTCCTCACTAGCGGTGATTGGAGGATGTTCAACCAGAACCATCGTCCAGTTCTTTAATTGTAAAGCAAAAAAAAAAAATGTAATGACTCACCTCTGGTGCAATCTGTGATGGCTTCATCCTTCAGCTCCTGCAAAGACCACAAGCTGTTAGCCTGCTACATCTGCACACACACAAATATATATACATACATACATACATATATATATATACATATATACATACATATATAAAAGCTCAAGTCTGTTATGTAGTGTGTAATGCTCTCGCCTCACATGAACTTAGAACATACATTTGTAGACTAATGACAACATAAAAGTAAACTTTCAACTTCATATACCTACCAGATGAAGTCTGGCAGCAGCTCTGTTGGAGAACAGCACGGCTCGCTCTCTGCTAAAACACAAAGGACACAACGCCAGAGCCTCCGTGTAACTTCGCTCCGCCTCCTTCCACTCTGGAGGGACACAAACACAGATTTTCTAAATTACGTTTTTTGCAGCAGAAACTAAATTTCAGAAAGTAAAAACACAAAATTAGGACCTGTTCATTATCTCATGGGGTTCCTCCTCATGTTGATCCTGTCTTAAAAAATACTAAGTGGCTGTCTGACTGGGAAGTTGTTTTTCATGATGCTGTTACTACACAATGTTCTCTCACTGACATCCAGTTCTGTTAAATCCCTGTTAAAGAAGTCTGTAATGCTGCTAATGTGAGGATGGGTAAGGTCTGGATGTCTGCGATAAACTGAGGTGAAACGGTTACTACGGTAACGTACACAGAGGTTAGACTAATCTGTAGTCATAGTTTTTGGACTAAAGAAAGAGTTTTTCAAAGTTAGCATCCAGCTTCAGCTAATCCAAGAAACCAATAATCAGGCTCTAAATCTAGGGATAGTGATGGACTCAGACCTGATCCTTCAGAGGCTCATAAAGACAGGAACAATGTTCCTTCTATCAGTTAAAGAACATCTCCAGGATTAAAGGACTGATGTCTTAGCAGGAGCTTGAACAACTAATTCCTGCTTCATTCATCTTTAGTAGAATTGATGAAAAATTGATCCAAAAAGTGGATCAAACATCTGATCTAGAGCTGATCCAGAATGCAGCTGTCTGCATCCTCACTAGAACTAAGAAAATGGAGAACAACAGCCTCGCTGGATCCAAACCAGAACCACAAATGGACAAGCAGGTTTTAGTTCTTCTGCTCCATTAACCTGGAATAAACTCCAGGAAACTAGAAGAGAGCTGCAAGCCTCAGTGGCTTTAATCCAGATCAATACCATGTTAGTATAAGGAAACCTTTGACAGAGATCTGAACAGAGTTGGTTCAGTTTTCAGTCCAACGTTGGTTCTGAAAACCTGGAACTCCCTGTGGTTCTGCTGAGACCAACTCAAAATGGACCTGGTGCACTGGTAGCAGCACCGCTGCTGCGCTCCAGTGGGATCTTCTAGTGACTCCACAGACTGGATCAGCAGAAGCCCATTTCCCTAGCCACTCATCGTGGGTTTACCTCAGCCTAAAGTTTTGTGTTTGGACGTTTCAGATGAGCCCAGGCTGTAAACAAGCTGCAGGCGGTGATTCTGATAGTAGAAGATCCTTCAGAGGATGGTACCCACCTCCAGCTTTAAAGAGGCTGTTTCCAGTTTCCTTTAGTGTTACACTCTGCTGCCGACGACTCTGAAACAGAAACAACCCAGTTTTACTACAGTGACCCTGTCCCCTGAATGTGTCGCCCAGCTGGTACAGGTGTTCAAATGGGGAAATGCTGATTAAAGTGGGCCTGGACACACCAAGACGTGACAACAGGACCTAACCACAGCTGAGAAAGAGACAAGGGCTCCAGATAATGGAAAATAGTTTCCCTTATTCGCAGCAAACACATTTCACCTGGGGCGTTCCTCCAGGCTCTGTTCTGGAGCCTCTTCTGTTCCACATGATCCCACTGTAACAGATGAGAGTTCTACTCTAGCTAGATCTATGCTGATGTCACAGAACAATAAAGCTCCACAATAACTACAGATCAGCTCCAGTGGAACCAGTCCACATGTCCTTCAGATTAATCCTCTCATGGCTGGAAAACGTGAAGAGAACCTCAGCATCCCCTGAACTCAGGATCCCTCATTGGTCCCTGAAGGTCCTTTGAGCATCTCTGCTCATTTAAATCACTGGTTCTGTGTTCAGAGATACTACTTTTGGAATGCTTTGGTAAAAATTTAGTGTATACCTCTCTGTTTACTGGTCTGTAGCAGAGGCAGATCTGTCCCTACTGGTGGCAGACCCGTCTACAAAGGTGGCAGACCCGTCTATAGTGGCGGCAGACCCCTCTATACTGGCGGCAGATTGGTCTATACTGGTGTAGTCTGGCATATACTGGTGTAGGCTGGTTTAAACTGTGAAAAAGTGGGGCAAAGTGGCATAGAGAGGAATACAAGGCATCACCTCCTTCTCCTCCTC